CGCTCGCCATTCTTGTGAATCTTGTACGTACTTTTCCACTCACAGCAGTTCCGAGTCCCCTAGGTAGGTCCAGACAATCCCGTCCATTCTATTCACACCCACGCCAGCCGAACGCACCCAGGAAGCACGCAAGCACAAGTACACACCAAGAAAGAATACCCCCCGTCTCGTCCCTGGCTCGTGTCTGCAGCCCGCCCTATCATATATCACTCCTTACATACACCCTTGAGCTTCACCCCCCCCAACACTTCGGTCCTTTCCCGCGGCCGGAATCAAGGTGGCCTGTCACCGTAGTGCGCAGCTTGCCATTAGGAGAAGTTGTCTGACACCAGCCGAACCCTTAGGTTGCTTTCTAGCCAGCCCTCCTTCATATCCCACATAGATATAGGCTCGAGCCGTCCGGAACCCTTTTCCCTCCTTTTTCTCTCTTCTCTCTCTCATCATGAGCGCCAACGCCGAATCTGCCCCCCAGGTGGCAGACTTTGTTACCCTGACCCAGGAGAAGACCGCCAACACGCAATCCACCGTCAACCAAGATGCCTCGGGACGCAAGTCCTCCTCCCCCGCCGCCGCCGCCGCCCAACTCGCCAGTACAAAGGTAGAGTTGATGGCTGCTCTGAGGTCGTTCCCCGACTTCCCCATCCCCGGCATCAACTTTATCGATATCCTCCCCCTCTTCCAGAACGTCAAGACCCACGAGGCTCTCCTCGTCGCTCTCCAGCTCCAGATCGAGCTCTCCCACGTCAAGCCCGATGTCATTGTCGGTCTTGATGCCCGCGGCTTCCTCTTCGGCCCCTCTCTCGCCTTGAGAATGGGCGCCAGCTTCGTGCCCGTCCGCAAGCAGGGCAAGATGCCCGGTCCCTGCGTCACTGCCGCCTACGAGAAGGAGTACGGCACCGACTTCTTCCAGATGCAGGAGGGCGCCATCAAGCCTGGCCAGAAGGTTCTTATCGTTGACGATATCATTGCTACTGGTAAGCATTATGCGCCCAACTTTCCTTTCTTGGCAGTCGCTTGGCGACGTCCAATCTCTTTGCCCTATCACGCCATATCTCATCTCAGTGATGCGCTGGACCTTGGCCTTGCCCCAATTGGCATACTTGCAGTTGAATTCGGCTAACAATGCCTTTTACAGGTGGTTCTGCCGCTGCCGCTGGCGAGCTTGTCCAGAAGCTCGGTGGTGAGACGATCGGCTATCTCTTCATCCTCGAGATCGCTTTCCTCAAGGGCCGCGAGAAGCTCGGTGGTGTTCCCGTCACCACCCTTCTCGAGACCGATGAGTAAACTCAAAACCTACATCGGACTCAGCACGACCTGCACATACGTCCAAATTTGCGTCACCGATAGACCAACATCTTGATTCACCGGCCATCTACACCAGTTGAAATTCGGCCGTTGAAGATCTACGACTCAGTTTGCACTTCTCGCTATCAACATGCGCCTTTACGACCCACAATTCGGATTTTAACGGCGAAGAAGCATAAACAATACGGACCCGACGGTTGCGATCTGAACAACAAGGGACCACTGGGGTGACAGCAAGCCGATAGGGAGATACATAGGGTTGCTGCTCTCAGTTGCCAGTCAAAATAAAAGTTGGGACACGAAGGATTGGGGACTTTGGTTCTGCATTTACCTGGCGTTCGGGCGCGTTACAAAAAGTGGGGTTCAATGGGGGTATCAATGGTTTCAAACCAACCTTCGGCCGTGAGAGAGAAGGATACCATTGAGTAAAACGGTTTTGTTTATTTTCCTTGGTTGCATCATAGACCGTTGGCTTCACGTCGAGGAAAATGAGGATGAAAGTATTGCAGTGTTGCAATAATTACCTACCATTGCCAGTCATCTTGCTACTCGTTTCTGTGCTAAGAGCCACATCCTGCCGGAATGGTTGAAACACGCAAAGCTTATCGCAGCATTCTCACTGGGACATGACTACAGGGTGCAGATGCAGGAACACCACAGCAAGGATACTCAACAGTACAACACTGCGGCTTTTTTTCTTCGGGGAGATGACTGCGGGATCGCCATTTACAACGAACGACTTGCGCAATGACAACTGCGCGGTGACAACTTTTTTATCGCCCTCAACAAAAAACAAGAATTTTCAAAACCTCTCTGAAACACCAATCGGTCGTCGTCATAGCAACACTTGGGATCGTCCGATTGGTCGATTCTCTGGTATCAACAAAACGGTTAACTGGCTATGAATCCTCAAACTGCAGGTCATCGCAACAACAACAAAGACCGATATCACACCTGCCTGTCTAGCGAACTAACAGTTGACACCGAATTGCTATGCATAACAATCAAAACGAAATGTGAATTGTACGCCAAGACCAGAGATCTCAAGTCCGAGACCGCACAATTACACGATGTTTTCCATCCCCAAGAAAAAAGGCTTCCAGGTCCACGTCCAGGTCTAGAACCATGTACAAGCGCAGAGCGGTACCTGCATCAGTCCCCAAAATGCAGTCAGTTCCTGCGCCGTGAGGACCCTAGGAGCGTGTGCATATGCTATACCCACTCGTCCGATGTCGGTCCTCGGGCCGGTGAAAAGGTCAAAGTACCTAAGGTCAAACAAAGTAAGGTCAACGTGAGGTCAAAGCAAAGCAAAGAACAAGGGCCGGGATGAAAATGCAGCGCAGCGCCGAGATGTACCAGGTAGGCGCCACGTGGGCGCCATTTATCCACCGCATATCATCCCGTATCATCCCATATCATCCCATATCCTAGGTACCTACAGACCGACGGCCGATGTCCTGTGCACGTAAGGTCTGCATCTGCATTATGAATCTGGGGTTTGTGCTCGGGCCTGAGTGAGGAGGAAAGTGAAGACGAGGAACAGAAATTGAGGTTTCGATGGACGGTTAAGTAAGCCGTATATACAAAAAGATAAAAAAGAGGAAAAAAAAAAGGAAAAAAAGGAAAAAAAAGGACACTTTAGATAGCTGTGCAGAAAATTTTAACATGGAAAGGAACACAAAAAACAAAAAAACAAACTCTACATGATGTACTGAAGTAAGTCTATAACACTCGCTTTCTTCTTCTTCTCAAGACCACACCATTTTTAACATGCTCGCTCTGTTCTGCTCTCAAATGCTGTTGTTGCTGTTATATGCGAGCAAATCGGGTTCGCTAGGTACTTAATCATGACTTTCGTCATTCAACCAACTCGTCTGAGCAAAGCCGTCCCGTCCTGACATACCCGATAATCAGTTTTATATACAGTCTTCCCCGCCTCTTTCTTAACGCTCATCTCTCGTCCCTAATTCTTCACCCTCCACCTTTCTCTCCCCTCCCCTCTTCCATCCTTCTATATTTACACCTTTCCATTCTTCCTTCTCTTCCCCCCCTCCCGTGACAACCAACCCCAAAATCATGCAACACCCCCAGCATCCCCCTCATCAACAATCACATTCCTCACCCTCCTCCCCTGGCTCTCCAGAAACCATCTCCTACCAACCGCCACCCCCTTCGCCCTTTTCAGCGTCTCATACGTCATCTCCCCGCCTCCAACCATGACCAAGGGGATCGGATTCCTCCTCACCAATCCGCCGGGCGTTTTTTGTACTTGATCCAGCAACGGCCTTGCCAACCCTCCTCCCCCAACCCCTCCTTGACTGCTGCTGAAGGTTTGACCGGAGTAGTAAGCAGTGTACGAAGCGTCTTCGTCTTCGCCGTCTGAGACTACTATGACGAGCTGTAAGGATGAAGGAGAGGGCGGGAAGGCGGGGATGTTGGCGAGTTTTTCGGAAAAGGAACAGCCGCCCCGGCGGAGAAGGAGGATTTGGTGGGTGCGAGGGATGGAGTCGTCTAGTAGCGGCTTCTCGGTCGGCTCGTCCGGGGAGGAAGAGGAAGACGGAGAACATAGCTGGCCGGCGGCGTAGATGGTAGTGTAAGGGATCATGTCGCGAGGCACGGGGCCGAAGGGCGGGTAGAGTCGAGGGTAGTTGGGATTGTTTGGGCCGTAAGGGGAGGAAGGAGGGGGAGGTGGTGGAGGAGGTAAAGGGGCGGCGCCGATGCCGGTGGCGGTTACGGCCGTGGAGTTTAGGAAGACGTTGAGTGGGTATTTGATCCCGCGGGTGATGCCGTGCATAGATGCGATGGAGGGGATGGAGGGCAGGATGGAGGGCAGAGCGGTGACGGCTGCTTCGAGGGGGATACCGTCGAGGAGGTCGTCAAGAGAGGCGGCGAGGTTGGCGAGGAGGGATTTGACGTAGGAGCCAAGGGAAGAGGAGGCGGGTTTTTCGGAGGTGGCGTTGGCTGTTTCTGGTTGTTGTTCGGGCTCGGAGTCCTGTTCCTCCTCTTGGGAAACATCGTCTTCGGTGTTATTGCTCTCAGGTCGAGGCTGCTCCTTTACCTTGTCCGTCTCGTCCTGGCCTAGATCCACATGGTGCAAATGCACGAGCTTGACGTTGACAAGGTCTCGGACAAGGTTAAACCGCGGGTCGGACACCTCGCCTAGGATGGCTCTGTTCATAACGATGAACTCATCCCGACCGAGCTGGACGCCGTTCACCTTGCTGACGCGCCATTCTCCATCACTATCCTCCTCCTGCCTCATGGTCAGCTTCAGGCCGGAAAGGGTCTGGACCCGAATCCGGTCCACAGTGAGGCGCTCAAGGTTCTGCGTGCCCATCAGGTAGTTGAAGGCACTGCCGCCGATGAGCTCTTGCGCGTTAGAAGAGAACTCAAGCAGCATCTCGACCGGCTGGTTGATTTTGCGGCATGTTCCGTTTTGGGGGATCATTTCTGGTGAAAGAGTCCAGGGGAAGGGCGTGTACCTGGGGATTCTACCCACGGTGTTCCCGGTGGGCCTCACATCCGGCTCCGCTGGAAATCCCAGACGGTCCTTTGGCCCCATCAAGTGTAGGTCCAACATCTTTGCAGCGTGATAGATGTCATCTCTGGCAGCAATGACTGAGCCTGTGAGAGGTGTGACTGAAGGCGGTGCCGGGCAAGTGTTGATATAGCTAGGGTCATGGTACACCATTAGTTCCTTTTGATGAGACGCCCTTGATCGGAGCGATGACTTTGCCTTCGGCAAGATAAGCGGATGACCCTCGGTGGTAAATACAAAGCCGGCATCCAGTTTGTTCAAGGGATGCGACTCGTCAAACAACAGATACAGGTACTGTGTGGTTTCGCCGAGGAAGAAGCTTTCCATGCGATCGCTCTTCTGGCCGGTCAACACATTCTGAAGGCCTGCCCAGCCACACTGCGTAGCGCACCGTCTTTGAATGTCTCTCATGACCATTTCGCCGACGTAAAGATACCAAGGGTCTTTGGTAGCTTGATAGATGTAGTAGGTCGATTCGATGAACTCGGGTCGTAAGGGCCACCAGCCGAGACCGCCCTCAATGTCTTTGTGTGTAATGGACCAACGTTCAGGCAGCGCTTCATATCGCGCCCATATAGCAGTGTAGAGCAAGCTGGTTTCGATGGCCTCTTCCACCTCACCTGCGAGGACAAGTAGACCAGCGTAGAAAGCTCCTAGGCTGTCTACCCAGTTCGTAGCCAGTGAGCCCGTCCACAAGTTGACGTTCTCATAATGCGGGTGGTCTCTGTCGCTGTAAAGATGTCGTTTAATAGCAGCATGAGCATGATGCCACGCCTGGAGGAAGGCATCGGGGGAATTCTCAACATCAGTAAGCGGTGCAAAGAGAGTGTTGGGGTCTAGCCAATCGTCCTTGGGTTTTGGCTCAACGGCTGTCCGGTTGGGAAGCTCGTGCCCAGAAAGCAAGATGTGCGACTTGAGTGCGTACTCGAAAAAGCTGTCGGCGCCAGCACCGACAACGGAGTAAGGGCCTACCCAGTGGCCTTGTTCGGCATCGACGCCTGCGCCGAGGAGGCCGATGTGGCTCTTCCGATACCACACTGCCCAGAAGGCCCGCTTTGCAAGCTGTTCAAACCGCGGATCACCTGTCAGGCGACTGAGAACGGTGAATTCGAGAACAAGCGACCCAGCGCCAGCACTGCATGTCTCGGTGATTTCAGGAGGCCCATCAAGTATTTGGTCCCCGGAAGAGGCCTCATGCAACGGCGAATTCCTGTAAAAGGGGATCCCATGGCGCAGATTGACACGCGGATAAGGCATTCCTGTCTTCGTGTAGAAGGCCGGAAGAATCCTTGTCCCAAGATCAAGCGCCAACCGAAGTAGCTGGCCGTCGTAAGTCAACCCATTCGTCCAGTGAATGGGCGGAGGGCTCAAAGGATCGTCTTCAGGACCCAGAGGTTCATAGCCATTGATGGGTAGTGCGCCAACAGCAAATAAATGGGCACTGAGAAGGCCTCCCACACCGCGGATGACCGTCTCAAAAACCTGCACCTTGCTGTCGACGTCGAAGCCTCTAGCGCGCAGACCTTGACCAGAAGGACCGGGACGGCCATCGCCATACTGCTCGACCAAGGCGGCAACACCATCCTGGAAGTCACGCAAGGCTTTCGGTCCCGTGCCTCGGTCATCTGGTGGGGCTGAGGCAAAGATGGCCAGTGTAGACAAGCTGTCTATCAGAGTAAGGGAGTAGTTGCCCAAGACATCGTTCACTTCGACGTTCCCTGGGTTCTGAGCATCCCGGGTCAGAGGGGCGCAAGTGACGGGCCGGAGCTAACGAGGCCGAGTTAGCTTGGTGTTTCTAGAGTGGGTGGCCTTGAGATAGTGAGACCTTGATGGTGATGAATGATGGTGGGCCATACCTCGTCCTCGGGAAAGGCGATGCGCATGTAGTTGTCGAAGCCATGGTAGAACATGTCGACGACCTCACGGCGGAGCTCAGCCACGCGACTGGGGCGCATTGCCCCAACACTGGGCAACAGGGCCACAAAGGCCAACAAGGCCAGAGTAAGAAGCCATGGTGTTGACCGTAATAATCGGGACCGGGACCGAAAACGTGGCCGGAGACGGGGCCGGAGTGGTTCCGGGGTCATGTTACTATGCGGCCGGAGTCCGGAAGTGTGGCTGTGAACTTGACAAGTTGTCCAGAGTTGGACCCCTCCACTTGGACGGTGATGGCTGCCAGGCCCAGCAGATCACCTAGGCGGGTGGCTGAGGAAGGCGACTGGAGACTGCATAGGTGTCCAATACGGTGCTCCGCGTGGAAGCGATGGGTGATGTGGCTCGGTGAGCGAGGGATGACCGCGGAGGTTTTGCAGTGAAAAGCAATGGTTGAATGTCTGTGGTAGCATGCAATGCCGGGTAGGTGAATGATGCCACTTAACCAATGCTGCAAGGTGTAATCAAGGTGTCACGGTGTAACCTGTGGCTGGGGCGTTTGTGTGTATTGACGTTACATTACACTCAATGAGCGGCCCGTGGCAGGTGTCAAGCACGACAGTTAAAGGACCCACTTCCTGTTCACTGTTTGCTCCACTATCTCCGGTCCGGCGCGGCCGCTGGATGTCAAAACCGGACCCCACCTTCCAGACTTCACTCCGTCTCGCCGACCAATGATGTTTTACACCTGTACTTCAGTTCCTCCAGTTCATCACATCAATCGAACTCCTCAATGTCAATGGCTCACCAACCTAAGGACAACACCCCTCACCACCTCTTTTCTATTTTTGATCTTCCTGCTGGACCGAACGAAAGGGAATCCCAGGGTACGGTGCGCCGCCCTTGCCAACTACTGCCTCGTCGACGCGCAATACGGTTATCCTCGTCATCATCAAACCAGTCGGTCCATCGCTGTCTCCATGCCGCCCATCCAGTTCCAATGTCGCATTGCAACATCGAGATGCCGCCACTGTGGCTGCCTTTAGCCATGTAACCCAATGTGCTAACGTCGCTGACTTTCGGTCTGAACTCTCCGTTCGTGGCGCTGCTTCCGCATTAAGAATATCCTACGGTCCTGGATAACGAGCGGATGATTAGTGATGCGGGCTTAGTGCAGTAAGACACCGTCTGAAAGCTCCTTGCAGTCCCTCACTTCGATATCTTTGCACTAGACCGCTTGAGGCGGGTGCTATCCTCACGGTCTCAGTTCTTTCCGGGCCACTTGCTCCTTCTATCTTCCGGTAAGTGCGTCTGCCTCTGTTTGGACCATAGCATTGCGTTTCGACATCAGGTTTCTCGTTGGGGGCCAAAACTGTGAGTGTTCCCGGGAAACGAGCCGTGGCAGAGTCCCACCCAGTCAGGAGCCGGTCCTCAACATTACTTCCCTCTACAGACCAAATACAACGTGAAGACCACGAATCAACGGCTTCGATATACTCACTGTCCCAGAGCGCGAGAAGAACGCATTACCCGAACCTCAATCTTGCAGACACGACAGCACTAAGCCTCCCAATCTATATAAGTGCCGTATCAGGTTGGAGAAGATGGCCTCCTGCAAACGACATGCACTACAACCGTCACCCTTGCTCGCCCTGGAATCAGCTTTGCTCTCCGGAAGTCGTCTTTGAGTTAGACTCCAGGGTCCCTTTTTCATGCAGGTCCTTACATATTGATCGGGGCACCGTTGAAACCACCGAATGCCAATGCCCGGGACATGGTTGTTGTTGTTGTTGTT